TAGACTTTTTTATAATTAGAAAATATCAAAAATTATACTATTTTAAAAATATAAAAATTCATAATATATCTATTATATATTATAATAATACTAAAGCTTGAATAATCATATCACTTTTTCAAGAATAAATTTAGAAATTTAATTATCAAGTTAGCCTAAAATATCAAGATCAGTATATATAACTTTTTCTTAATAATTGTTCCAGTTATAAATTAATAAGTCTTATCTTACAATATACTGATATTTATTTTTTATCTTCAAATACTATATCAAAAATTCAACTATTAAATGCATAATCTTTAAGAAATACTATTATTATTTTCATATATAGTAAGATATCTGTATTAAATTTAATATATATTGTAAGTTTTCAAAACTAACTGCTTTCATTTTAAAAGCTTGATACTATAATATATAGAAGTAGATGAATATATAAAAAATCTACATATAAATATCTTACAAATAATCTATTTTATTATCTAAGCCTAAAATAAAATTAATATTGATATTATTTATAATTACTAATATCATATAAAGATTCTTCTTATTAATTTGCAAAATACTTTAGAAAATATATATTAACCTGAAAATTCAGTTCTTAATGATTTTGCAAATATACTTCAAGCTCTCAATTTTCCAAATTCAATATAAGTAAAAGAATTTCTTAACATTTCTAAAGAGAATATTATTTACAAAGTTTTTAAAGTTGGCTAAATTATTGAAAAACTCATATATTTTTTCAAAAATACTAATAATAAAAGTAATAATTTTGATTAGATTATGTCTCTTTAGATCTCTTTAGTTTAGATCTTTATTTTGCACTATCTGTATAATAGATTAACTTTGTATTATATTTCTAAGAAGATCAATTTCACTCTGAATATAAAGATGATTATTATATATTTAATACATTTAGATTTAGTATATTATTACTTAGATAATTACTATGTATATCATAATTATTAATTTAGATTATTAATATTTTTAATTAATTATTTTTTTTATAATTTTATTTATTCTTTTTTTATTATTATTTATATTTAATTTATTATATTTATAATTATTATTATTTATTAAATTATAATTAATTACCCTCTAGAGATATAAATTAAGTTAATTAATTCTGTTTAATTATATGTATTTTAAAATAGATTTTATTATTAATTTATTCACTTTTTGTATTTATTTCTTTCACTATAAATAAGATCTCTCTGTTCTGTAATTTTCTCTCAGATCTGAATACTTTTAAATAATAAAAACAATCATAAGTTATAAAATTAAAACTTATTCATATCATATTTTATCTTGTTTACAACCATTAACAAAATAATCTTATATTTTATCTTAAATTATATATTTTATTAATTAAAATATTATAAAAATAATATAAAATAATTAATTTTATAATAAATTTTTATTATATATTAAATATTTATTAATTTATTAAAAATTTCTTATAATTAAATAAATATATATATTTAAAATAATTATTTAAAGTATATTTAAATATTTTATTATTTATCTAAAGTTAAAAAATAAATATTATAATTTTAAATATATAAAAAATATTATATAAATTTTTATTAAATTAATTATTTTTTAAATATTATAATTCTTTATATAAAATATAATGATTTATAAAAATAATTATTATATAATTATATTTAAAATATTAATTTAAAAATAAAAATATTTTAAAAAATACTTATTTCTTAAAACTATATAAATAAAAATATTATTATTTAATTTATTATATCTTTAAATATTAAATATTAAATATTATTAAAATTATTAAATATTATTTTTTTTATTTATAAAATTATAAAATATTAAAATAAATTAATATTTAATAAAAATAAAAAATAATAATAAATTAAATAATATTATTTATTTAATAATAATTAAAAAATAATATTAAATTTAAATTTTTTATTAAATTATTATTAATAAAATATATAATTTTTTATTATATATAAAAGTTTTAATTTTATTATTAAATATTTTTTTAACTTAAAATTTTTTATTTTAATAATATTTTTAAATGAATTATTTAATTATATATAATAATAATAATAATAATTAATATAATACTTGAATTTTTATTAACTTATTTATATTATATATAAATATAATTAGTTTTTATAATTAATAATTAATAAAACTTAATTATTTTTTAATATAATATAAATATGTTACTAATAAAATATTTTGAAATCTGAATAAATATTTAATAACTAAAAAATTCAAGATTTATATTATTTTAAATTATTATTGTATATTATATATAATATAATAATTAAATATTATTAAAGAATTTAAGAATTAATATTTTAATATTCAATAATCAAATTATAATTTCTAATATATTAAATTAATATATTAATAAGATTTTTTTAATTTCAATACTAAATATTAATTATTATATATTTATTATTTTATTTAAAAGAAAATTCTTATTATTATTAAAAATTTATTATTATTTTTTAAATATATATTTTTTATAAGTAAATAAATTTAATATTTTTTATTAATAAAAAATAAATCTTTTTTATTTATTAAATTATTATTATTTATTTTTATTTATTAAGTATTTTAAGTATTTAAAAATTAATTATAAATACTTTTTAAATATTATTAAAAGGATTTTTCTTATTTAAATAGATTTTAAAATTTATAATATAAAAAAAATATTATATAAATTTAAAATAAATTATATTAAATTTAAATAAGTTTTTATAAAAATTATTATTTTCTTATAAATAATAATAATATATAATTATATATATTATTTTCTAATAAGATATTATTCAAGATATAAAAATTATTTTAATAACTTTTCAGTTAAACTAATTAAAAATCAAATTTATTAAACTAGTTTTTTTCATAAATATTATTTTTTATTATTATCTTTCATTATAATTTTAATAAAATATATCTTAAAAAGATTATTTTGTTTTATTTCTAAATATATAATTCCTTTTATTATTAAAATATTTTTGTTTTAATATAAAATTTTAATTGAAAATAAATTAAAAATTTATAATTAAATATTATCTTTTTTATTATTTATCTTGTAAACAATTCTAAAATTTTCAAGTCATTATATTAAATTATTTATTTTTATTAAAAAACAGAAATTTATATAAACTCTGTTTTTTTATAACACATCTCGTGTCAAGACAGATCTTTTTTTATTATTCTAACTTGATTTTTTCATATCATATAAAAATTTATTTCTCAGTTTATTCTTCATTTGGTATTATATTTCTTTAATTATCAATATGCTTTGGTTTTTTGATTAATTATCTGGCTTGCTGTATCAAAAACTATTCATGATTCTCATTTCTGAAAATCTATTAAGTAAATCATGAGATTATACAATCATGAGTGATTTTACTAACAATTCAATATAATGGTGATCACTAATTCTCAATCTCCTGTTGAATTGCCTGACCAATCTCTTCTTTTGGAGTTACTAGAACCTACCTTAGAAGATAATTCTTGATCACAATGCTTTAAAATAGATCAATATGATAAAAAAATTATTAAAGAATAATAAACTTTATTTGAGTTATAGGTTTTTATTACAAGTATTAATCAAATAATGATTTTTACAGTTCATTATTTAATAATTTCATGCAACAATATATCAACGTCAAGGATCCGTTAGATCAAGCGACATTTATCAAATTATTTGCTCTCTACAGAGATAAAGACACGACATTCAAACATGTCAAAAATACGTGCTATTTACGAAATAGCGCCTAAAATACCAACATTTAAAATTCAAATAAATTTTTAATCTAGATTGACGTTGGAATCTGTCGTACGTAACAATTTTATCATTGTCGTATTCAAACATTTAAACTTTGCTACGATTAATAAGGTATAACAATAAGTAATCGATAAACTCAACGTTAATTCTATTTAATGTTTTAAAAAAATAAATAAGTGTAAACAAAAAAGAACGAATCAGAAAAATTTGGTACAATATATCAAAAACAATCAAATTGATTGTCTCGATTCACAAAGCAAATTTTTGATATTGTTTTATTGTTGAGAATCGATAATAATGATATATGAGTGCATGAATATTTAGCATACCGATGCGTAAATAATAAAGCATATGGCGTTATAAATTTAATGAATTGATCATTATATGCTATGATAAAACAGCTTAGCATTCGGAAAAAATATTATTTTTTGTTTACAAACCAAAAAAAATAAACTTTAATTAATTAATACATACCGATATGTGTATTATAATCATCGGGATTTGCCTTTAAATGTATCATGTGATTACGGATAAAAATTTAGAGGAAAATAAAAAATTTACGATTCGAACCTTTCTTTTGTGATTTAGCTCAATTTTCTGCACACAGTATTTGCATATTCTTTCTATATGTCGATGCAGATAAAAAGCATACATACGGGAGATGCCTATAAATTCAAAGGCCCTGCCAAGATTTTGAAACACATTGTTTCGTTACGTTATTGCAAAAGATTATCGTACCATGATAAAGAACCAACCAGATCTTTAAAGATGCTCAAGAATTTCTTTGAGTAGCGGTAGCAATAGACATGCATATCGATATAATAACGATAGTAAAATTTCATTGTGATATGTATATATATATTTGTCTTATTGTAAAGTACAGAACTGGATAAAGGGCTTCATTCATATACGTTCCCATTCAAGAATGGTTTCGGGCATTTTTATAATTTAACCTGTTATGTCACACATATACAATGGTTTTTTATTTTTTCCCTTCATGATTATGGACTTTTCAAGATACTTTGTTACATCTATTTAGGATGAGGTTCTCTGCATTTTAGCATCGAAAATTCATTACTAATACATATTACTTGTTTTGTTTTTCATTTAAAAACAAATACTAACATCCACCATTTCTTTTTTCTTTTATTAAAGCATCAATAACGAATACTGTTATGTTCAACCGAACACAGACACACAAACACACAAGCACACAAACACAAACTTAGACTCTAAGCTAAACAAAATCAATTTCTCAATTCCATAAATTGTAGCACTTACCACATTCACATTCACATGCTCAAATTTATAAAGGGTCCATTTTTTTAGCGAAGATGGACAAAAGTTACGAGATACTGCAATTGGAAAGGACGCTAACTATTAACCAAGGCATTCGTAACTTAAATTGGGAATGCTATCATTGAAATGAGTAATTAGGAATTGTTCTTGGAATCTTTTTAGAATTACACGTCATTAAAAGATACCTGACGCAACTCTGGCTGAGAGTTGCAACCTAAGGTAAGTAATTTCATTACGATCATTTTTTTTTAAATTTTCCACAAGTACATGTATCATTACACGTCATTCAAAAAAGAAAGATCACCAGCGGCATGCCCAATAGTTAGTATCGAAGAATCTAAGATGACAGAGTCTAAAAATATACAATTACAGCAGGTGAATTTCCTGTTATACATGTATGGATTATATATCGATATGGACCATGTGTAACCATTTGATATATCGAAACTCAGCTGATTTGTGTTGTTGAGAATATACCGACAACGAGTGTGCGAAATTTGCTTTTTTTATACATGTATGCGTATTTGCTTTTTTTCAAACAATAATCTTTTTAGAAAGTTAGGATTTAAGATGTACTATACTCAATATTTGTAATTACGTATAATGTAAATTTATCCTTCCATTTGAGAATAAAACTAATCATAATTTAAATCGTTTATTTTCTACGCGATCTGTATGCGCTAAGGGATCTTGTTATGTACCAAGCACTACCAAGCACGAAACTCGGGTTAAACTTTCTCGGGACCAAATTATTATGCGAACGCTAATATATTTCGAACTTCGAATCTTCTTCGCTTTTTAAGATATGCATGTATGAAAAAAAAATACGACAGCATAAATTATTATTAATTATAAAATTTTGCTTTTGGAGGGTTATCACGTATCGGTATCTTATCATTTACATGTATGCTGTTTTAAAGTTCATACATGTATATACATGTAATATACTCGTAGTATGAATAGAGATTAGGATGATGCAATATTTATTTAACATGATATGCAACAAATCTGTACGGTAAGGTTTTGTGTAAATGTGTTACTAGGTATGTAGAGTCACTTTCAAATGTTACATACGAGCACTCGTCGCCTATCGTACTATGATTACCATTTATATTAAAGAGAAGTCGTAGTAATACCTACGATTAAGGTTTCTCGAGCAAAAGTAGTGTGGCCTGAGCATGTTATTTCAGACTGATCCATTATTTTTTGCTAATTTTTCCCCAAACTAAAATTATTTTTTTTTTCCGGTAATTAGATTTTTTTTATGCTTCATTTACAAAAAAACGCCCGCAACTCATTACCTCAATTATTTGTTTTCTATGGGAGCTAATACATATTCATCGACACCGATTTATACACGAAATAAAAGATAATGAAGCGAGAGCATACCAAAGCTCTCCAAGTACCCTAAAAATTTTTGTTGCAGCAAGCATTTTGTACAGAATCAACATTCAGCACAACATCAGCCCTTCCAGATTGGAGGAAACACCAAAAATGAATAATTGTCTTATTTAATGTTCTTTCCCCTTTTTGTATTTTCTCACGCATACGTAACGGTAATAGTTACAAATTGCCCCAAACATATAAATTCGTTTAACTAAATTAATCGCAAATCCTGTTTATGAAAAAAAAGCAAGTCAATTGATAAATCGATTTCGCAAACCCATTTCTTTACGGTGTATACCGCTTTCACAGTTACCATTTTCTCACAATGAAAAAAAGCATACGAGAAAAAGTGGACAAATGGCTCCAACTCAAATTAACCAACCAACCGACCGATAAAAACTAAAAGAAAATTTAGCCCTCCTGGTTTCGAAATAAACCTGATATTACGTAGGTCAAAAATAAATAGAAAAAAACAAAACCTGATCCAGTTATACAATAATTTGATTATCACGTGGCAAATAGTTTCACATAAATTAAATCAGCATGGAAAGTTATGCAGAAAACATGGAAATATAAGTGTATACCTGAGAATGCAATACACTTAAAATCTAAGTTAAGCCTCAAAACGTGGCTAATTATTTCAGTTACATTTTGTGCATGCTTACCGACCGTTTTGATTCAAGGAAACCTGACTGCGGTGTCTCTCTATTACCATTCATGTTACGTACATATACATGTACATAACATTCTGATTGATGCCCATGCCGAAATATCGTGTATGGATACACAAAGAAAAACCAGATTACGAATATTTCCCGGCAATTAATAATTTTAACCGAGTCATACAATAAACGTAAGCCAAACTATTATTAAAAAGGAATAGTTTATATCCATTGTTCTTTGAGAAATCGAAAAATCAAAAAGAATGTAAAAATCCCTTATCGTTACTCTTAAAGATTCACTTATTAATGCATTTTTAAACTCCCCATATTGATATTAATAGATTAATATTAATACATCTTATTAATATTAAATATTAACGTTAATACATGTATTTATTTATTAATTTATCAATAGTAACACGATTGTTCATCCTTTCTTAAATCCTTAACAACTTTTTTCTTTTTCACACACACAACAAATCATATTAAATAAATTAAATGTTACTATTCTCACAATGTAACAATATAAAAAATAAATAATACAAATAAACAAAAAATAAAAGTATCGAACGAAATACAGAAAATACGAATTAAGATATTAGTGGGCCAACACGCTGGCACAAAATCTTAGGTAAGAAAATTGGATTAGTGAAAATTGTGGTGGTGGTGATGGTAGTAGTAGGGTTACATAGTAATAGTAATAGAAATAGTAATAGTGGCAAAGTGTTTCATCGTTTGGTGCAAATGCGATCCATATAACCATTCATTAATTTTCCCATAAAAATAATAAATACTGGGAAAAATTAAAAATCTTTTCAAAGAAAAGCGATTTGCTATTTTAAAAATGAAATCCACACTTTATCACAAGACAAATAATAATAAAAATAATAATATTAATAATACTACTACTAATAACAGTAGTAAGAATAAATTAAAAACCACGACAACGACGACGACGACGACAACAACAACAACGACAAGGAGGACTACCGCTGCTACCACTACTAATAATAATAATAATATTAGTAATAGTGCCGGTAAAACGATTACACGTACTAATCGATTTAATTCAATGTCTCCAGAAAGTAAAAAACGAAGGAAAACAATTTTATTAAATATCACGAACAATTATTACAACAAACCA